GCTGCGTCCTCTGTCCTCCGTCTTCCGCCCTCCCCTTCCTCCTCCTCTAGGTACGTGAACTCCTCCTGCCTCCTCCCTCTCCTCCTCCGTCTCCTCCTCCTCCTCGTCCTCGTCGTCCTCCTCCTCCTCCCTCTGCTCCTCGTCCTCCTCCTGCGTGTCGGTAGCCATTTTGGCTCATGCCGCTCATCAGCGAGCGACAGCCCGATTGCTCAATCTTGGTCGAAATGGTTCCCCCCCGCTTGGTGCAACAGGTCTGGCTCGCGATTGAGATCATGGTACGGGCGGACGCCGTCTGTGGCGTCCGGAAGCGCTCGCGTGCTGCTCTACTGCCCACAAAGCAGCGATCGTGAGCGTGGAGGCGGCGCTCATGTGCATCACCACCGAGCGGGACGACCTCCAGATTCGGTTGGACCACCTCCTCAAGGCCACGTTCTTGGCCCTGGATCTGCCTGAGGAGGTTGCCGATCGTGTGGTTGCTCTCGTCGTTCCTCGTGGTTCCGTTCAGCTTCCTGTTGCTCGTCAAGCCGGTGGTGGTGATGAGTTTCAGTGGAATGTCGGGGCGGACGTGTTTCTTGTTGCTGCTTGCTTCTGCAAGGGGAGGCAGCCGCTGTGGTTTATTTACGAACGTGCCACGACTGCCGCGGATGATGTTGTTCACCACTTGCCTCTGTTACTGTCATTGTTTCGCGCGAGCAGGCCAGATCCGCTGAAGAGGATCACGTGGTGCCCGACGTCGTCACGTCCTTGGGCTCGTGCCCCTCGGGCCTCCCAGCGGTTTCTGGAGCAGGTCGGCTGTTTCAGTCTCCCACTTGTGGGGAGGCCCGCCCTGTGGACGGCTCTGGGAGCTGCCTTCCTGCTGCGGCTGCCCGTCTTCCTGCTGGACACAGTGCTGATCCAGGCGGTCGTGCTCGGAGCGGTGTCGTGGTCACTGTTGGTGCAGTGGATGTGGCCAGGTGGCCTGCGTCGTCTGGGTCATGACGCTGATGTCGGCGTGCTGGAGGTTGCCATTCAGTTTCGCCGCGATTCAGGTTTTATCCTCAGGGGGAGTACTGGGAGCTTGTTGCCATGCCTGCTACAGATACTGCTGGCTTCCCATGGTCGTGCAGTGGCGTCCTCTCGCTGGAATGCGCGAAGCTCATCGGCGACCAGCGGCTCACTTGCCTCCATTGCTCCCTGCTGATGGATGGCTTGGATGAGTACACCCGAGTCGCTGTTATGCTGCTCGCCGTGTGCCTTGGTGCTCTGCGGGACGTGCGCGCCTGAAGCTTGGCGGAGGTGGGCGATGGCCGCGAGAGGGGGACACGCTGGGCGCGGTGGCCTGCTGTCGTGTCCTGGCACGCCATCTTCTACGTGGTTCTCTTCATCGTCGTCGTTCCCTGGGTGGTACACGCCTGCTACGTGCCCCGAGGAGGACAAACCTGGTCTGTGACGTTCGGCGCGGCGTGGGCGGCGTCGCTGGGAGCCCCCTCATCTTCGTGCTGCCCTTCGCCCCGTTCGGCTGGGCACTCGTTCTCCTCGATGTCCTGCTTGTGCCCGTGGAGCCCTCCGTCCTCGTCCTCACGGCAGGTGCGCTCAGGCCTCAGGGGGTTCCCCCCCAGAGTGTGCGTTGGTGCTGCCCCGTTGATGTCAAACACAATCCTCCTCCTCCTCCTCCTCCTCCTCTCCTCCCTGTCCTCCTCCTCTTTGATCCAATCGCTGTTGTACGGCATCTTGTGCGGGCGCTCTTTGAGGACCCCCAAGATGGCCCAATGATCGAAGCCATTGAGGACCTTTTTTTTAACACTTCTGTCCTGAAGTAGGCGTTTCGTCCGACTCGTCCTCAAACAATGCCTTCGGGCGGGTCTTCGAAAACATCAGATTCTGATGAAGATGCCAATGATTGGGTTGATGATCGTGATCATGATGATTATGCTGGTGCTGATGCTGATGGTGATGCCGTTGTTGATGCCGAAGCCGGAGCATGCGCTACTGCTGTTGGTGATGATTGTGAAGTTGATGTTGCAGGTTTTGATGATGATGCTGTTGTCGATGATGCTGCTGATGATGGTGATGATGGTGATGATGATGATGATGATGTGCTGGTGGTGTCGGTGATGGTGAAGGTGCCGATGGCGATGACAAGGATGCTGCACGTGAGGGCGACACGGAGGAAACAGGAAGAGTGCAGAAGAGTGCGGAGGAGAACCAGGTGCAGGCCTGCGAACTTTCGGGGAGCGCGTCCATAGGTACCACCTGTGGACCTTCGGAGAGCTCGCCCACACTACAGCTGATCGTGATGAGGCTGCACGTTCCTTCACAGCTCTTCGTTTTTTTTTTGGGGGGGGGGGGCCGATGACGGGCCCCAGGCCGGAGTTTGCCAGAGGTGCCCTTGGCCCACAGTGTCCCCGGCTTCTCGATCTATTCCGAAGCCCCTGGGGCCTTCTGGGCCTCGTGAGGAGTGCTCTCGACTCCGTTGGGGCCGCCCTGGAAATCCCGGGGACGTCTCGGGCCAGGGGGGCACCTCCAGCAGCACCCGACCGGGGGCCGAAGCCGAGGAGACACGCGGGCATCGAAGACGATCCGTATCGTCGGAGTGCTGGCGCGGTGCCCCTGCACGCCGTGGGGCGCCTGGCCGGGGCCCCGGGCGCCCCCAGGAGAGCCAGGACAGCCGGCCTCTCCGAGGCGGCCGCCCCGCCAGGCGGCCCGTCTCGGGCCCTGCCGGGCGCGCAGGTCGGACAGGGGCGGGGCGCCTTGGCTTGTCCACGGGCCCGCCAACAAACATGTGCTGAGAACCTTTCAGGAGGGAAAAAAACACACAGACACAATTAATTTGCGATTCCCAGAAAATATGGGAAAATATAGGAAGTGGGGGGGAAGACAAAAACACAGAAAATATGGGAAAATATGGGGAATCATTTTATTTGTGTGTATTTATTTGTGTGTCCCAGTTTCCCTTCAACCTTGTTCACCACCCACCAATACACCCCAACCCAACCCGAATACCTCAATTTGCCTTCCATTTCCAGTGGGGGGGGGGTCGGGGAACGCTGAAAAAACACATGGTATCCGTACCCCCCCTAACCCGAAATTCGGGTCAAATTCGGGTCTTCGGGTTGGGTTGGGGTGGTCTGGTAGGTAGTCACTTGTGTGGCTTGCGCGACATGTTCTCAGGACAGTTCTGGCCGAGGCCGTCCTGTTTCAATCCATCGCGGCGTTCTGTTCTGAGAACGTTGCTCGTACTATAGGAACATATGTTGTTCTGAGAGCTTTTCGTGGTAGGCCCCAGGAATGCCGGCACGGTCGGTCTCTGCTTAGAAAGAGGACGATCCGCAACGCGACGAGGCCCATGCAGATAGCCCGCATGCGCAAGCACTGTGAACAGGTTGTGGCGTCGGAGGTTTGGGTTCTGAGGGCCCCTGCAGGCGTCGTCCCTCTCGAGGTTTTGGAAGGAGTTCGACATGCGCGCGCGGCAGACGCGCGAGGGTGGCCCGCATTGTAGTATTTGACACGGATCGTACCACCCCAGCATGCGCGCAAAGGGCGTCCGAACGATTTCGACATGCGTTCGCGCGAAGCCCGTTTGGTAGCATTTGGGGAAAGTGCTGAAACAAAACAATGGTTCTCTGGAAAATTCGCGTGAGCGCGCATTTTTTTTGAAAGCCCGTGTTGCGAAACCCGATGTTTTTGTCTATACATACATAATATATATATATATATATGTATATATTGTTTTTATGTGTTCTTGGACACTCCATTTTCAAATATTTCCGAAACCGGAAGTTCCCGAAAGATTTTTGCATGCGCGCGCGGCGACGCGTGCGTGCGCACTTCGTCCCATTGTTCGTAGGGGGCTCTTGAAAACTTGCGAGTTTTGATCGACGAGTGCGCGCGCGTTGTATTTTGTGCAGAGGATGGCGGGGGGACCGATACCGGCCTGGTTGGGATAGCATGAATACAAAGGTCGGATGGACATTGGGTGAGGATCCTATGTGTGTTTACATCGGATGGTGAGTGTTTAATCCCGGGGTGGTGGTAGAACCCAGTTCTTTTTGTAGGAAAAATGATTGGTGCGCAAATGTATTGCTGGATTTTCGCGTGCAGTACGTTGGTATACAATGCAGTCGGATTCTCTGGCGGCCCAGTAATTTTGCAATACTATAACCCCACATATAGTGCACCACCCCCTTTCAGTTGGACCTCTCGGGTCAAATAAACAGAAGTGCCCCCGTCCCGAAAGGTGCCCCAAGCTTCCTGGTCCACTCTGGAGCCCCCAGGGCCTTTTTGGGGGCCCCGTGCGGGGTGCTTGGGAGGCCTTGTTGGTGGCCTCCTTGGAAATCCTGGGGACACTTTGGGCCAGGGACGCCTATGGCCTATGGCAACACCCGGCCCGTGGGGATCACCAGCGACCACGGATGCCCCTCGAGACTGGAGCGGCTCCCATGGCGGCAGTCGGGGCTCAAGAGACGGGGGCCACTGCAAACGGGGGTCAGTCAGAGCGTTGGAGCTTGCATGATCCTGCAGGGCCAGGGGCGCATTTACCTGGGCTTGGGGGCAGGATCCTGCAGGATCTTGCAGGATCCTGCAACGCCCGATTGACCCTGATTTGGATTGACCGGGGTCAGTATGTCCCCGAGCAGGCACTAGTCGCCCACGTTCCTGGGGGTTCTGAGAGCTGCCGCCCAGCGGGCGTTCCCCTCAAGATGCACGGTCGAGCCCAGTGGTGCCTCGAGGCGTCCGGCAGGCCAGCTGCCCTCAGACCTCCGACGGGGTGTTTTTTGTTCCATCCGCGGTGTCTTGCATTGATTTCGGCCTCTGGGGCCCACTCTCGGGCCCCGTGACCATCAAGAATTGATCTGGGACGAGACATCGGCGTCACCCCAACATACTAATACTATGTGTGTCGCCCTCCCAGGGGCGACGCGCGCACCGAGAAATCTTATAGTGCATGCGTCGTGGCGGGCGCTTTCTGGCCACACCGGTCGGGAAATGATATACTGCAAGATGGGCATACCATTGTTCGGGTCGGACGCGCGCCTCCAAGGAGAACATGTAGTACTAGTATGTCTCTGTGCGTCCCACGAAAGTGGCCCCAGGGAAGGGGTCGGGAGTTTCGGGGCCGTGAGTTGTAAGCACCACGTCGTCGGATGTCTGGGCGCACGGGGTGCGTTCATTGCAGGAGGGGCCTCGGCTTCGGCGCGTCTCGCCTTCGGCGGGCGCAGGCGGAAGGTCGGCGGAAGGCTCCAGGCCTTTAGACGGGGTCGGAGTGGATGGGGTCGGCGATACAGCTCGATGTGGAGCGTCATTTTCTCTACGCCGGCGTCGCTGATGCACCACCGACGTCGCCGATGCATCGTCGATGCATCGGCGATGCGGCGCGATCCTCCGACCCTATCTATTCGGACCCTACCTGGGAGGCCTCTAAAGGCGGCGGAAGCAACCGCGAGAAGTCCACATGTTTGGAGTCAGGGCTGCTGGAACCTGCCGTGTAGCTGATCTGCCGCAACCCGTTGGCGAACACCCCTCTCGCCCCTTCGATTCGCCAGGACGGCAGGAGCCTGCCGCTGTCGGCCCGCACAGCTGGCACAGCGAGTCCGCCGGGAGCTGCCTGCCTGGCGCGCCTTGGGGCTGGGGCGAGGCTGGCGGAAGCCGATCGACTTCGAGCCGAGCAAGTACGGCATTAAGAGGACGTCGCCTTGGATGAGCGAGGAGAAAGAAGGAGTAGGAGGAGGAGGAGGAGGAGGGAGAGCAGGACGAGGCGGGGCAGGATGAGGAGGAGAAGGGGGAAGGGGGATGAGCATGATGAGGATGATGATGACGATGATAATGCTGATGATGATGACGCTGCTGCCGCTGCTGATGCTGATGATGCTGACGATGAGGAAGATGAGGATGAGGATGATGATAATGATGACGATGACGATGACGATAACCATGATGTTGATAATGATGGTGATGATGGTGATGATGATGTCGATGCTGACGATGAAGTTGACGCCGACGATGACAGTGATCATGAAGCTGATGATGATGATGTTGACGATGATCAGGTTGATGATGATGTTGATAATCGTGATGATTCTGATGATGAAGCTGATGATGAAGCTGATGATGATGGTGATGATGCTGATGCTGATTAGTGTGATGGTGATGGTGGTTCTGATATTTGTTTTGGTTATGCTGCTGATTTAGCTGATGCTGATTTTGTTGCTGATGGTGATGGTGATGGCGATGATGACAATGACAATGACATTGACGACTATGATGATCATGATGCTGATGAGGATGACGATGATGATGATGCTGCTGATGATGATTCTGACGCTGCTGCTGATGATGATGCTAACGATGATATTGTGATTGTTTTTGCATTTGATGATGGTGCTGCTGATGCCGCTCATGATGTTGATGAGGATGAGGATGATGATGAGGATGACCATGAGGATGAGGATGAGGATGATGATGCTGATGCTGATGCTGATGATGATGACGATGATGATGATGCTGATGCTGCTGATGATGATGCTGCTGATGATGCTGATGATGATGATGATTCTGATGATGATGCTGATGATGATGATGATGATGATGATGATGATGATGATGCTGATGCTGCTGCTGATGATGATGATGATGATGATGATGATGATGACGAGGAGGAGGAGGAGGAGGAGGAGGAGGAGGAGAAGGAGGAGGAGGACGCGACGAGGAACGATGGAGGAGCAGTCAACGGGGTGCTGATATAAGGGGTGTGTCAGGGAGACACCAGGCCGCCAGAAGACCTGCATCCTCCGTGCCACGGTGAGTTCTTGAGAGAGAGAGAGAGAGAGAGAGAATGAGTTAGTGAGTGAGTGAGAGTGAATGAGACAGAGAGAGAGAGAGAGAGAGAGAGAGAAAAAGAAAGAGAGATAGAGAGAGGAACATACAACTTCACCGATGTTGTCGCTCTTAGTCAAGCGCCGTGGGCTCATACGGCAATCATCGAGACAGTGGGCCCCCTCCTCTTCTGTGTCTCCCTGGTGATGGCCAGCCAGACTCGGCCCGTCAGAGATGGCGCACGCATGCCTGCAGAATTCCGACACGTCGTGTTGCAAGGCAGTGTCTTCCGTTGCCGCACAGGGCAGACGAGCGAGGCTCCCCGGGGAGGGCCAGTATCGTTAGGACACGCGCCACACCTTCTGCCTCGGCCAGGAGTGCCTGTGTACAAGTCCTGGGGCCGGGTGCTGGGCGCTCACTCCTCCGGGCAGAGACAGGACGTGAAGGTGTGAGAAGGGATGAAGGATTGAAGAGGAGGAGGAGGAGGAGGAGGAAGAGGAATAATAATAATAAGAATAAGGCTAATACTAAGAATAAGAATATTAATACTAAGAAGACGAATGCTAATAACACTAAGAATACTAATAATAATAAGCATAATAAGAATAATCATAATACTACGAATAATGATGATAAGAATAATAATAATCATAATACTAATACTAATACTTACAATAATAATAATACACGGTAGCAAGAATAATAATAATACGACTAATAATACTAATAAGAATAATAATAAGAAGACTATGAAGAATACCAATACTAATAGTAATAAGAAGGAGAAGAATGATGATAATAATTATAAGAATAAGAATATTAATGACGATAGCAATAAGACGAATAATGAAAATAATGATAATAATACTATTATTATTACTTGTAATACTACTAATAATAATTATAATATTAACAATAATAACAATAGTAGTAGTCATAGTAATCATAACACTAATAATAATAGTAGTAGTAATAATAATACTGATAATAATAATAATAGTAATAATAATAATCATAATAAGAAGAAGAATAAGAATAATAATAAGAATAATAATAAGAAGAAGAAGAATAAGAATAATAATCATAATAAGAATAATAATAATAATAATAATAATAATAATAATAATAATCATATTAATAATAACAGGAGGAGGAGGTGGAGGAGGAGGAGGAGGAAAAGGAGGGGAAGGACGAGTAGAAGGAGGAGGACGAGGAGAAGGAGGAGAAGGAGGAGGAGGAGGAGAAGGATAAGGAGGGGGGCAGTGAAGATTCGAGGTCGCCGCATGGTTTTGGTGCTCGGGTCGTTCTCCGAGGACGTCTCGGTCGAGTGGGGCCTCCGAGGTCCCAAGGCCGTGCGGTGACCGACCGCGCGGCCCAGACACGCGATGTCTCCAGGGCCGAGGCCCGGCGAGGCCCCCCCCAGGAGGCCGAAGCCGGCCAAAAAAGCCTTCCGTCGGCGTGTCTCGTCTGCGACGCGAGCGCGTGGCCGGGTCGGGCTCTCGAGGCCGCCGCGCGGTCCGTCACTGCGCGGTCTTCCCCGACCTCCCCGACGGCCTGATCCCCAAAGATCCCCAAGAGCGCCCCAAGACACCCCGAAAGAGCCCCAGAAGGCCCTGAGAGGACCTCAAGAGAGCCCCAAGATGACCCTAATATGCCCCTAAGAGTCTTACAATCATCTCTAACAACACGACCTCCCCGACGGGTGGGAAGGCTGGGGATCCCGTCGTCTGCTGCGCCGACGCCGACGTGCCTTTGCCGCACACCTGCCGTACTCTGGATGTCACTGCTGGCTTCGAGGTGGCCGAGGAGAGCGCCGCCATCGAGGCTGCGCTCGCCCCCCCCCCCGACCTCGCTGAGAGGCGCCCTGCTGGTCTCGGCGCCCTCGCACGGACCAGAGCCCCTCTCCGCCGCGCCAGGGACCCCGACCTGTGGGGGGAGTGAGGCGCCCGGGCGCGCGCGCGCGCGGGTGCCGCGCAGGTGCCGCGGAGCGTCGGGCTGGGGCAGAGCGGTGGGCGTCGGATCATGTTGTTGGGCCGCCCCTTTGTGCTGTCTAGACCGGAGTGTCCCAGATGGGCCTGGACGACACTACGCGGTTGTTCAGACTCAACGACCCCGCTTCTTTGAAATAGAGAGCGAGAAAGAGAGAGAGAGAGAGGGAGACAGAAGTAGAGAAATGAAACAGATAGAGAGACAGGGAGACAGAGAGGGGGAGAGCGAGAGAGAGAGAGAGAGAGCGAGAGAGAAAGAGCGGAAACGAGAGGAGGAGAAGGAGGCTGGCGTGTACGGAGGAATCTGCCAGAGAGACCTCCAGAGGGTCTCGGCGTTCTGCCACAGTTTTCACAGTGCCATGAGACATTGGGGCGGGTTATGATGGCGATGGCTATCACGACGACGACGATGACGACAATGATGATGCTGCTGCTGCTGCTGATGATGATGATGATTATGCTGATAATACTGACCAGGATGATTCTACAGATGATGAGGAGGAGTATTATTGTTGATGGTGGAGGTGATGGTGATGATGACGAGGCCGATGAGGATGAGGATGAGGATGAGGGTGCTGCTGCTGCTGATGCTGATGCTGGTGCTGATGATGATGATGCTACTACAGACGATTATGATGCTGAAGATGGTGATGATGATGGTGATTCGGATGATGATGCTGATGATGATGATGATGGTCATGTTGCTGACTTGGTGGATGATGATGACGACGATGGTGATGGTGATTGTGGTGGTGATGGTGGTGGTGATGGTGATGGTGATGATGAGGATTAACACGATGATGACGATGATGATGCTGATGATGATGATGATGATGATGAAGATGACAATGATGATGATGATGGGGTGGTTATGATGATTATGATGCTGCTGATGATGCTGATGATGATGACGGCGATGTTGATGAAGATGATTCTGATGCTGATGACGATGACGATGACGATGATGCCGATGATGATGCCTATGATGATGATGGGATGATGCAATGATGAGGATGCTGATTCGGATTATGATTCTGACCAGGATGGTCATGATGATGCTGCTGCTGATGATGATGATGATGCCGATGCTGATGCTGCTGATGATGATGATGCTGATTATGATGCTGATGATGCTGATGATGATGCTGCTGGTGATGATGCTGCTGATGATGATGACGATTCTGATGATGCTGCTGATGATGATGCTGATGCTGATGCTGATGCTGATGATGATGATGATGATGATGATGATGCTGATGCTGATGCTGATGCTGATGCTGATGCTGATGCTGATGCTGGTGATAATGTTGATGATGATGATGATGCTGCTGATGATGATGATGCTGATGCTGATGCTGATGCTGCTGCTGATCATGATGATGATGATGATGATGATGATGATGAATATGATGTTGCTGCTGCTGCTGCTGATGATGATGATGATGATGATGATGATGATGATGATGATGATGATGATGATGATGATGATGACGACGATGGCGGTTGATGATGGTGACGATAATAACGCTGGTGGTGGTGATGTGGTGGTGATGTTGATGCTGGTGATTATGGTGAGGATGGTGATGATGAGGATGGCCACAATGTTGATCATGGGGGTCTTGAGGACTTCTGTTTGGTAGAGATAACTTGGGCCTCCTGGGCCGCCCCCAGGGCCTGCAATACGGCCCACGAGGGGCCGAAGGAGTTCCCAGACGGCTCCTTGAGGCCATCTTATGCCACGCTTCCGAAGCATGCGGTAAGTCCCAGAAATGTCCAGAATTTCAGTCAGTTGGAGCCTGGGGCCCTACAGGAGGGTTGAGAATCTTCAATCCAGAGAACTTGAAGGGACCTGTGGACACTCCACTCAGTGCCTACGGCACGGCGATGCATTTCAATTTATGTTGACTCGGCGCAAGGTAGTTGTTCGTGCGCAATTCGTACCGCGTTCTCACTGTACGTTTCGCGCCATCACGTGCGGAGGGGCCTGATATTCGGTGAGAGGGTCTTGCCTTTCCGAGGTCCAGTCTGCTCTCCGGGCCCCCTGCACGTGCGCTGATCCATCTCGGAGGCTCGGAGGCTTCTTGGCGATGCCCTCGGAGCTCGACGCCCGCGCCGATTCTGCATCGCAGAGCGACCTCCACGGAGACGGCTGCTCTCGGCCCCTCGAGCGCGGAGCTCAGCAGTGTCTATAGCGCAGGGGGGGGGCACGTCGTGCTCGAGAGAGAGAGAGAGAGACAGCGAGAGAGCGCCGCCCTCCGCGTGCCCGGGGGGTCGGGGGCGAGCGACGGGCCGAGCTCTGCATATACCCGGGCTGGGGGCTGCGGCACGCATGGCGCCAATTTGCTGGCGCGCAGGGCGCCGGCTCCTCCGGCCGAGGAGAGCTCTCGGGGCTTCTGCCTCTGCCTTCCACCTCTCTGGTGTCCGCACGGCTCCTCCTCGAGCCCCCCTCGGCCTCCTCGCGGCCCCGACGCCTCCTCCGTGCGGCCTCACGCGGCCTCGCCTCGCCTGCTCGTCGTCCTCTCGGCCTCCCCAGCCCAGATCTCACCTTTCCTCGCGCGTCCTCTCTCTCTCTCGCGTCCCGCCGAGTTCCTTACCTGCTCGTCGTCCTCTCGGCCTCCTCAGCCTAGAGCCTCGCCTTTCCTTACGCGTCCTCCTCCTCGCCGCGTCCCGCCGGGTGCGTCTCACCGCCGCCGCGGCAACACGCTCGCGGCGGCCGCTCTGACGAGGGCCTCCTCGAGAGCTGCCGTGCTGCCTTAGAGAGACCCTTGCTGGGCGACCGGGCTGCCCGCGGCACGCCGACTGGCGCTCCGCCGCCCCTGCGCCCGCTCGCCCAGCTGTCGCCGGATCCCCGCGTGCTGCCTGGGGCAAAACGGGGGCGCCGCGTGCGGAGGGGGAGGATAATCTCATGCTGGTTCCTCCTCCTGTTTCCTCCTGTTTCCTCCTCCTCCTCCTCCTCCTCCTCCTCCTCCTCCTCCTCCTCCTCCTCCTCCTCCTCCTCCCCCTCCCCTCCCCCTCCCCCTCCCTCTCCCCCTCCTTCTCCTCCTCCTCCTCCCCCTCCTTCTCCTCCTCCTCCTCCTCCTCCTCCTCCTCCTCCGACCCAGCGTGCTGCCTGGGGCAGAGCGGGGGCGCCGCGGCGCGCGCGAGGCCCCCGCGGGTGCCCAGAGGCCGCGGGCCCGCACGGAGCCTGGCCTCTGCGGCGCGGCCTCTGCCCACCGCCAGCACACAGCGACACCCGCCGCTTCGGAGTCGTGCCCTGGGATCTCTTGGAGGGGTGGATCTGGATATCTGCCCGCTCGCATGGCTGGCCAGGTATCCATATCCATCGCTCCTCGATTCCCTGGGGTGCGACCCCGCGGCGGTGGACATGGACACATCCCGGCGGCGCGCCCTGGCGCCGTGGAGAGGCACGACGGCCCTGAGATCCTGGCGTTGCCATTCTTTCGAGCCGGGCTTTGTCGCCCGGTTCCAGGCCCCGGCACCCTCACAGATCGATGCGGCTCGGAAAACCACGCGGGAAGACGGGGTCCGTGGCTCCGGCCGTCATTTTTTGCGATGGTGCCACTCTTTCGCACCGTCGGCTCTCAGGGGGCGGCCAGGCTTCTCTGAGTCTCGAGCCTTGGATGCTGCTGGGCCCAACCCTCCCCTCCCGCGTCGTTGAAAAATCACGGCGGAAGGCTTTTGGCCATGCAGTCTCGGCATTCAGGGGCCCTCGCCGGGCCCCGGGGACCGGCAGACGTCGACCCAGGAGGACGCACCGGTCCTGGGGAGTGTTTCGAACATTTGTGGAGGTCGGCGTTGTGAGCCACATCGTGGCGTCGGGGGTCCGCGGGGTATTCCTGGTCGGTGGCGGCAGCTCTCGGGATGCCCCGTGGCCGCGGCCAGCTTCGCTCGAGGTCTTGGTGGGAGCGCGCAAAGTATGTGGCAGGGCCAGGGTCGGCTTCGGGGCCCACGCATGTCGACTGCACGTAAGAAGAGTGACCCTTCGCCGGAGTGACCTTTGGTGCTGGCCCTTGTGGAATGAGCACGACCTCGCGTCGGCACCCGCATCGCGTCATTGCGCTCGCACTTGAGCGCGCCAAGTTTGGGCCCACCCCTTGCAATCGACAGCAACGCATACGCGTCGAACCCTACAGCTTGCATTGGTTACCCGAGGGGGAGCCGGTCGACCAGACGGCGCGTTTTCGGGCCCAGGACCAGTCCCGAATCCCAGCCCAAATTCCTTCCTTCCCAAACGTTTGGCTTGAATATCCTTGGATATCTTTGGATATCTTGGAATATCTTTGAATATCATTGAATATGTTTTCGAACCAATGGAGATCTTTACTATTATAAGTTACCCAAATATATTCAAACATATTCGGGGCTCTCGGATGGGGCCGGTTTTGGCCATGGCGCCGGGCCTGGTCAGACGTCATCACGATGCAGCCCGGCAGTGCCAGACCTCATCGCGGTGGCCCAAGGCAGCGTCTGCTTTCGCAGGCCCTTCGAAGTGCCATTCGGGGCGCTCGAATTCAATCGGCGGAATTCCGCGGTTGCCTGCTGGCGCAAAAATCATTCGAGTGGCGCCCCGCCGATCGTTGATGCGGCGCGGCAACGCCTGCTTGCGCGATTGCGTTGGGCCCCCACGGGCGCCCCTGAAGCCGCGCACCAAAGGTCACTCTAGCCTAGGGTCACTCCTACGTGTAGTCGAGCATTGAACCAGCGGAAAGTTATGACGGCCAGCTCTTCTGATATTCAAGCTTCTGACGGTAACTCGCTCTGTGCCTCGGGGCCCTCGCACAATGGCCTGCTACGAGGAACCGGTCCCAGGGATGGGGTGCCCTGGGAGCCCGCGACGCGAACAAGGACACGAGAGCCAGAGGCCTGGGACTTGGCGCCCGCGGAGATCAGCGCGAGCCGCGCTCACAGAGCCGTCGGGGGGCAGCAGTCTCCCGGAAGGTCTCCTCCTGGGACGGACGGAGCGCACGGGGGCGCCTCGGGGCGCCGGTCTGGGCCCCGGCGGGCTGCGTGCCGCTCCTGGACGGCAGGGCACTGAGCAAGCTCAAGGATGTACCTCCCCAGAAAAAATAAATGCGACAAGCAAGTCTCCAGTTGGAGACATATCAGTTGTCACACTGATCAGAACAGATACTACACTTGATCATAGCCAAAAGGCCGAGCTGCCTGGCACGAGGCCGCTTCGCGGGTGGGCCGCTCCGCCGGCGGACCGCTCCGCCGGTGGGCCGCCTCTCCCGGCGGGCCGCAGCACTCGGGCCTCGACAGGCGAGCCGGGTGGGCAGGGCCTAGCCGGGCGGGCCGGGCGGACAGGTAGGACCGTCGTCCTCCTCGTCCTCCTCCACCTCCTCCTCCTCCTCCTCCTCCTCCTCGTGCTCCTCGTCCTCCTCCCTCTCCTCCTACTCTTCCTCCTCCTCCTCCTCCTCCTCCTCCTCCTCCTCCTCCTCCTCCTCCTCCTCCTCCTCCCTCTCCTACCTATGGTAGTGGTGGTGGAAAATCGGCGCATCAGAACGGGCGGGTCGGGCGGGTCGGGCGGGCGGGACATCAAAGCAGGCGGGCGGGCCTGCAAGTAGACGACGAGCGGGCGTGCGGACCCTGGCAGGCGGGTCGGGGGGGGGAGGGCCACTGCGGGAGAGTCGGGCGGGCGGGGGGGGAGCTCTGCGACGGGAAGCGGTCTGGGGCGAGGCGGTCCGAGCGGAGCGGCCCGCAGTCGAAGCGGTCCAGAGGCGGAGCGGTGCGGGGGCGAGCGGGTCTGGGGCGAAGAGGTCCGGATGGGGAGCGCTCTGCGGGCGCAGCGGCCTGCGGGCGGAGCGGGGTCTGCCTCCAGTTGCCGTGGAGTCTTGCTTCTGGCCCCACGGTGGTCAGCGTGGGTGCAACTGGCTCGTGCGTGGCAGCGCATGGTAGCAGTGGAAGTGGGTGTTGCCACCAGTCCGTGGTGTAGTGCTACACTGCCCTGGAGAGTACGTTCACATCCGCATGGGGGATACATCGGGTGCATAGCAGGTTGGCGTCGACACATTTTGAGAGGAGCGGCGGTTGCGACGCATATTGCGGTGCAGTGCCAAGCATGCGGGTGTCAAGGAGACGAGGATGTGTTAAGGCGAAAGTGGGTTCCTGCACGTCAACGATTCAGCTAACTGGGCTGCTATTGCGGTTCGGCTTTCGGAACATTATTGTGTTTTGCAGTGGGAGCGTGTATGAAAAAAGGAAGACTCGCAAATCTCAGCACCGTCAAAGGTAAACGTAGCCGTCGACCAACTTCGTTTACAAGAAGTCTCCCGTGCAGGCCCCAATATAATCCATGACCTGGCTCTCACCGCAGTTGTAGCAATCGCTCTTGATACGGATACGATTTCTAGCTGAGTGCGATGATAACGCATGTATGACGTAATGATGTACTACCTGGGCCGTTAGAGACAAACATATGATCGCCCCCCCCACATGATTATACATGTTGGCCCCCATGATCATCGATATGGGCTCAGCATCTTCCTCTTTGTCTTCGTCTTCTTCATCTTCTTCGTTCTCTCTCTGTTTCTCTCTCTCTCTCTTTTCTTCTCGTCTCCTCATCTTCTTCTACTCCTGTCCTCCTGCAGTGCAGGGGCGGCTTTGTCAAAGGATTCGCCTTACGGCGGTCGTGCACATGTATTCCTTGTGTAACGGCATTGCGGGAGGATTTCCTGTTGAAGAGCCTTGCAAACGGTGTGTAATCTGAAGGAAGCCCGGAATTGCACAGATATTGCATGTAGCTTCAAGTTTCTGGTAAGAACATTTGATAAGCACAAAGATATTCCATATATGTTTGAAGGCTTTGGTGAGGAATCAGATGCACAGAGATATTCCATACATTTTAAGGTGTTCTGGAGACGGTCGCCCCTCTTCCTCCTGCTCCCCAAACATCCTTATAGCGCGGCCACATTTGAATATCTCTGTTTTACATGGTTTCCTTACCCCACCCCAGAAACACGTATGGATCACCTTTGCTTTCACATAGTTTCCTCGCCATGACCTTCAAACACATTGGGTTTCTTTATCAAGACCTTGACACGTATATGGGGTATTTGTGTTTTCGGGGCGTGGCCGAGGAGAAGGAGCAGAAGGAGGAGGGGCGCCCGTCCCCAGACATTTATGTATGTGTATATACATATTTACACACGGGATCTCTCTATTTTCACAGGGCGTCTGTCCCAAACCCAGAATCACGTGTATACATAGATCGAATGGAACATCCGTTTTATCGCAGGATTTCCTGGCCAACGCATTCAAACATGTATTCCCTGTATGGCTTTTCAGCAGCAGCCCCATTTGTAAGGCCGCCCATGGCGCGCTCGCTAGACGGTTCCCCTTACTTAGGAGCCTTGAGGGGCCTGCGCCTTTCCTTCTTATTCTCCCTTCTCCCTACCTGTTCCTGCTCCTGCTCCTGCTCGCTCCTGCTCGCTCCTGCTCTCCTCGTCCTCCTCCTCCTCCTCACCCTGCTCCTCCTCCTCCCCCTCCCCCTTACCTTCGAGCAACCTAATCATTGATCCCTCTGTGTTGAATCCTGGGGCGGCAGGCTTTCATCAGTCAATTGGCAGACCTGGACAGCAGAAGATGGGGAAAGAAAGAACAGGAGCATGAAGAGGATGAGGATGACGACGGCAACGTTCGTTCTGTAGTAGCGCTGTAGAAGACGCTGCAGTAGGAGGTGCAATAAGGTTTGCGGTCTAAGCTGTAGTGAGATCTGCGGGAGCTGTATTGCTTGCTGGAACATGGGCTGTAGAAGGAACTCTAGTATGAACTGCACTGAAAACTGTATTACCACGAGTCGCAGGATTCGTGGCAGGAGCCCCCGCAAGAGCTGGTGTAAGAAGTGTAGTGCGGCTGTGAGGGGGCTG